GAACAGCAAGCAGTCAACATCGAACGTATTAACACAAAAACTGGTGTATATCGAAATAACAATTTAGTCTTTACAAAATCGAATTACTAACCCAACAACAGAAATAACATCGAACATGAGTCAATATCAAAGACAGAGTCTACCTAAAACAAGAATGGGTATAGGATCTACAGAAGCTCACTTAGTTGTTATTGTGAAAAGATATTTGAGAATTGTTGGTCTTGTCTTTTTCGTCTGGTTACTTGGTAAGTGAAAAAACATTTTTTAAAGATAATCTTTTGTTATAATCTATGGAAGAAAAAGTATCTTCAAAATATTAATTGAAATTGAATAGTTTAAAAGAAAAATCCATTTTAAAAAATTTTTCTTCTGGTTTTCTGAGGACGATGGAAAATTTTGACATACATTATCAGGTTTCAAAGCTAACTTACTAAAATATTTTATTTTGGGTAATTTCATATAATTAGACATATAATCGGAATAAATTAAGGAAGATCATGACTTACAATAAGTTGATTCAGATCCAGCTGGTGCTCGACTATTTTTAAAACTATAAACTTCAACGTAGTAAAGCTTTTAAATTTTAACTTGTTTGAAAAACAAAAAAGAAGTCTTTACTTAGAATTATTTCATAGAAAAATTGCCGTCATCATGAATGTCACTCTTTCATCGTTAAAAAAATTCCACTTCACAAAGGAAAGCGTCAATGACTATTGATATTACTTCCTTGCCTGGAGAAATTTGAGTTCTTTTATGTTAAATTGTCATAAAAGGTGTCCGATAATGAGTCCTGGTAGAATTAGTCATTTAGCACTTATTCATCTTGTGCACATTGCCAATTGAAATAATTACTAGCTGTCAAAATGTGCTTTAAACTCTACCATTCACAATAATCAGCTCTGGTATGAAAATATTGAGCAAGAAAAACAAATCATTAAAAGAAACTCTAAGATTGCTTTCGAAAAAAGCTATTAAATCTTCATTACAAGTACCTAGTACATCTCGATAACAAAAATTACAATGTAGATAAAAAACGAATAAGAAGTTATGAATTAGTTCCCAAAATAATTGCACATAGATGTATTTCAAATATCTTCAGAAGCTTATTAGTTCTATTGAAAATTTAACTTTGACTTCCCTTAGGATAATGTCAAAAAATTATTTTGACGATGAGAAAGAAGTGATAAAACGAGCATAGAACTTCAAATAACAGATGAGTAAATTAAAAAAGTCAGATTTTTCAAAAGAGTCATTTTTCGAGCAATCTCTCAAGGGAGGAAATCAGGAACGAACTTTTCAACGAAAAAGAATATTTATAAAAATATTTGAAATACATGTAAGCCTATCAGATATATCCATCGCGGCGCGGCAGCGGCAGCTTTTTTTAGGAAAACATTTCAATAATTCATGAATTTGCACAGAATTTGCATGTTCAAGTATGCTATACTGTAAGACTTAACGAATTTGATCGATTATCAGCATCAGTTCTAGTTCAAACCAGTCACAGCCTTCAAAATCAAAACATTTCTTCGAATACCATCGCAGCAGTGGCAGATTTTGAGCCGCGATGGATATCTCTGATGTCAACAGAAAGTAAGAGAAAATATGATTAACAATTTGTTACAGGGTGCTCTTTATGTGTGTGGAGTGTTCCTAAAAAATGATTTGGTTCTCTACATCTTATATGTCCAAAAAGGTTGTAACTATTGCCTCAGACCGTTTTTGACCATGGTATATCTCACTAGACTATTCAAAGTGAAAAAATTTTTTCCACAAAAGTGGTAGAAATTCCTTGGATTCATCCGATTATATTTGACTTGAATGAAGTATGTCGGATGTATACAACTGTGAATGCATTCATCAAGATAGTAATAAAAAATTCATAAGATAATAGTCGATGGATCAATCATCCTATTTTAATATGAAATCGTATAGAATCTATGTTGAGTTATATATTTTTATTCTAGTTTATCAAAGAAGCATGAGCAGCCTGGAGAAGCAATAAGCCTTTATTGCTTTTCCTTGCATTGCTGGCGCGTCGCCCATGGTATTGTCTGACTGATAGATAATAAATACTTTTTGATATGTATATAGCAAGAAAAATGAATAGTCTATTATCTTTTATAAATATTAGAGTTGTAAAACTAATAAGAAAATAAGTTAAATAAAACCAAACAAAATTTGTTTGATCTTTCTTTAGGATATTTTCATTTCAGTATATCATGGGTTTTATTAGTTGTATTTATTTATATGTTTCGAATACGTCAATGCACTCAATCTCTAGTACGACATAAAAAGTTAAATGAAATAAATAAAAATAAAGAACAATATACTAAAGCATGTGTCCATGAATTACCATCATGGGTAAATAAAATTTTTCAAACAAAAAAACAAACACATTCATTTCTCTTATAGGTATTTTTTCCTGACATAGAACGAGCAGAATGGATAAATCGAATAATAAAAAAAGCATGGCCATACGCAAATCGATATGTTGATCAAGCTGTTTTTCGTGATGTACTTGTTCGATTAGTTCGTGAAGCATCATCAACTTTAGCAGATTTTTCATTTCAAAAACTTGATCTTGGACAAATCGTATGTATTCTTTTATAAACTTGTTTTACTTTTTATATTTAAGTTTCACTTGTAGCCACCTAGAATTGAAGGTGTTAAAGTTTATACAGACAATGTTCGTGATCAAATTATGATAGATATTGAAGTTATGTATGTTATAGAAATCAATAATTATTTTTATTTTTTGAACTTAAATTTTCTGTTTGTTATTTTTCTCTGTTAGTTATGCTGGTGATGCAATTATGAAAGCAAAGTTGAAAGGCATTGTGTGTGGAATTAAAAATATACAGTTTGTTGCTGATATTCGAATTATTTTAAGTCCTTTAATTAATACAATTCCATTAGTGGGTGCAGTAACATTTTTTTTCTTGAAAAAACCTGTAGGTGTAGACAAGATTTATTTTATAAAAAAAAGAAAATTTTGATTTTGTGTTGATATTTTCATCATTAGAGTATTGATTTTAAATTAACCGATGCCGGAACATTAGTTGATATACCTGGTCTTCAGTATACAGAAATTTTAAAATTATCGAAATATCAAATATTAATTTATTTTTTTATAGTGACTTATTACTTGTTCAAATCAATGATATTATAGCATCAATGATGGTTTTACCTAATAGACAAGTTCTTCCATTTGTTAAAGATATACCAATCGGATACTTAAGATGTTCTAATCTTCAAGTTATATTGTTAGAATTTAATATTAATTATTAATGAATTAATTTTTATTTTTAGAGTGTTGTGCGTGCATTTATTTTAGGAGCAAAAGATTTAATTAATGCAGATATTGTAGGAAAAAGTGACCCATATGTTAAAGTTAAAGGTAGAAAAGAATTCTTTTCTTTTTCTATTATTAAATGATAAATTTTAACGGTATTTATAGTACCAGGTAGTATTGAATATAGAACAAAAACAATTGATAATGCACTGAATCCCGAATGGAATGAAGTATTATATTTGATTTTCTTTATTTTTCTAATATCACTTATTCTCTTTTATTTTAAAAATAAGATATTTGAATTTGTTGTTGAACAATACGAAAGTGATTCTATTGAATTTGAAGTATATGATGAAGATCTTGGTAAAGATGATTTTATCGGACGGTAAACGATGTTTAAATAAATCTTTAGAATTTCGATTATTTTATAATAATTTTAAATCATGAGATAGAGAGATAGAATAAAGATTTTATTACAAAAGTATATATCTCTTTAATTATTCATAGTAAACGTTCTTCGATCGTGTATTGAAATGTATTCAGATTAATTCTTAGATTACATAGGAATATATTTCTATGAATCTTTAATTAAAATGATGAAAAGAAAGAATACTGCATAGTGGCAAATTCCATTACTCAATATCTTTCTAACAATTATGACTCGCTATAATTCTGGACAAAAGATTGATCTGATTCAAAATTCTAACACTAAATTAGACAAGTGTTACATCTCTCAATCGAATTACTTTCGATTTTCGAAATTCTATTCTGTAGCTCAAATTTTAATTTCTGCTGAAAAATTCAATTTTTTTTTCAATTAGAGCTCAACTTCCTCTTAATACATTGGTTGACGATGATCATATTAATACTGTATGTTATTTGTAGTTAAATGATAAAATTGACTATCAATTATTTATTTTTTATTTTCGAGTGGTTAACATTACAGGATATAAAAAATGGTTCATTAAATGTTAGTTTACAATATTTTTCATTAACAAAACAAAAATCTGCTCTTGAAATTGTAAGCAAACTAACAATAGGTATTTTTATTTTCTATTCGATATTTATATTTGAATATTTTTAGATTGAAAGAAAAAATAATGAAGTGAAAAAAGGAGAAAAATTATCAAAAGCTTTACTTGTTTGTTATATTGATCGATGCCTTAATCTTCCTGTAAGAAAAAAAAAATAGATTTTACTTATTTTATTGTGTTTTATTTTCTTTATTATCTTCAAATATTAGCAATCAAAAAAAACACGTCAAGAACCAAATCCATTTTGTCGAGTTAAAGTTGAAGGTACTGAAACTAAAACTCAAACATATGAAAGTCAAACAAATCCACAATTTGAACATATATCACAAATTTTATGTTCAAATCCACTTCATGAAAAATTAAAAATTTATGTATGTAATGCAAAAAGTAAAAATGAAGTAATTGCATATTTTGAAATGCCAATTAAACAAGTCTATGATGCTGATACAATGACTATCGATACCCAATCATATCCACTGAAAAGTGTATCTGGACCATTAGATAAAACAGAAATTATTCTTCATTTATCACTTTTCGTAAGTACAAGATGGGTTGAGTAGGCCTATATGAATGACTCCCAATCAGTCTAATTGAGTTTTGTATAGGATGAAAAACCATCAGTTCATTATCAATTGGATTTCATCATAACTTTGAATAAGATTTATTTTCAAGGTCAACATTTGTTTTGATAGAAAATGAGAAAAAACTGGCCTTGTAGTCGTCCTATATTCCTATATTTTTCGAAAAAAGGAAGGTTTATCTTTGAAAAGTCGTATACTGCTGAAAACCTTGATGTTAGACTACTTTCAAGAGTTTGATTAATAGATTTATCTTCGCGTAAGTAAAGAATATAATCTTGAATTTTTTAAAAAAGATGCGCTTCAGAAAGTCGTACAAGAATGATAATAATAAATCTTGGTTGCCTTATGTCAATGGTCTTTTTCATACTCAAAATGAAAGATATCTATGTTAGTACTGTAGATCATCGCATTGCGCTTGATAAAAGTGTTTGAAATTTTATTTTGTTTTTTCAATAGGAATCTATTCATACAGTTTGTGTAGAGCTTTTTATAGTGTATCTTTAAAAAAAATTTAAGTTTTGATCATTTATGTATGTCGAGATTTTTGCGAAGCAAAAAATTTCTCCGAAATATTTGATCGTGCTTAATAAGATGAGAAATATCAATATAGCGTGAGTTCCTCATTTCAAGTCCGAGAAATACCGTCAGAAAAGTCAAGAGAAATTTTCTGTCGCATTCTTCTGAACTTTTTCTAGTACATCTGTAAAAAAAAACCAAATTTGATATTTTATCTATGGCAAGATACAATACAAATAGAGAATTCTGCAAAAGCTTTGGGACATCAGAAATCTACTTCACGCAGATCTTCACTTTTAATCACTGAGAAAAATGATTACAAAAAGCTAACAAGTATCCGTACATGGGGTTTGTGTAGAGCTTTTGATAGGGTATCTTTTTAAAAAATTTTTAGCTTTTATCATTTTCCTCTTCGAGATACATCGAAAATAAAAAATTTCTTCTAAAAATTTTTTTAATCATATTCATTAGGATGACCCGCAGCACTATCATAGACGTCTTTCATTTTAAGTATGGAAAGGACTATTAGTATAAGTTAACCAAGAATTGTTCCTACCATTCTTGTACAGCTTCCAAGGTGCATCTTTTTAAAAAATTCAAGATTATAACCTCTACTTACACCGGGATAATGCGAAATAAAAAATCTCGCAAAACTTTTGGTGCACCCCGTATATGATACTTGACAAAAAGTTTAACTTAACAACCTTTATTTTTCTTCAGAAAAAGTATATTGTTGTATTCTTTTTACTTTAACTTATAAGATAAGATGTTTGAAAAAGTCTGCACCTCTCGGTTCTATCACTGCATTAATTCATTTTCCAATAAGTTTCTACTAAAAAAGAGTTGAAACTAATTCAAAATTGATGTCCTATAAATGTCCTATATAATCCTATATTTTTACAAAGTGTCGCTACGAGGCCAGCAAAAAGATGAAAATTTATTCAAAGATATTAAGATAAATTATTGTCCGAATTACAATTTCTTAAAAAGACCATTCATAGAAGATACTATTTTGAACATACTTGATCATAAAAAATGTTTGAATTGCTCAAGTTTCAAGTATGAAATACTTATATGCATTCTTTGTATCGTTTAATTATTGTGTTAATAAATTTTTCTCTACACTTAACTTATTTCGTGTCTAATAGAATTGTTTAAACTTTATAAAATAAATTACTATTTCTGTTCTAAAACAAATGAGTAACTTGACAAAACCTTTAGATCATGCATTCCTCCTCAGGGCAACTTTTTCCCATTTTAGATTGATATTTTATGTTTCAGTGTTAGAAACATTTTCTACAATTTTTTTTCTTGATCTAATTTTTACCCATGGGGGCTCCATCAGTAATATCTGAAAAATGAATTTAGTAAGCGATTTATTGTAGAAGTAAAAAACATCTCTTTTACTTATGAAAGTCATTCGATGAAAAAAACAATAGTTGACAAATGATCAGATAGTAAAATTATACTCAATTAATTTTTTTGACATATCCTTGAAGAGGTCGTGAAGATGAATATTTGATAGAGAAAAACGTCGTAGAATATGTTTGAAATATACATCAATCGTTCCATATTTTTGTACTAATTTGAAAATATTAAATAAGATTGAAGAGACA